TATCGTCGTCCGTTAGGATTGGGGAGGATAGGATTATTCTTGGGCGGGTTGGGGGGGGAGTAGAGGAATCCTCCCGGATATCAGGGGGACGTGTTCCTTTTATTTGCGTAGAGCAGGCTTTGGCTAATTCTTCCTTGTTGAGGGTAGGCCATTCCCAGCTAGTGGGGCAGGGGTTATAGCTTTCCCAAGGGAAGGTAGAGGTCGTAGGAGGGCGAGGAAAGAGGCCTTTCCTTAGAGCGGAGCATTTATCTTGAAAGCTATCTTGGAGCCTGCCGTCTATATCCCGTATTTGTGGGATTTGTGTAGTAGACCGGGGCTTAGTATATGACATAGCTTTATAGATATTTTCTGGGGTTTCTTTAGCTAGGAAGGTTTCCCAGTGTTTCCGCTTTGCTTGCTTGATAGCCTGGAAGTATTCGTTCCGGGATTCTAGGTATTGTTGGATTTCTAGGGGCGAGGGGGCTCCCTGGATGAGTCGTGCCTTTCGTTGAAATGTCTTCCGGAGGTTTTTAAGTTCCGGAGACCACCAGGGCTTGGAACGGGCTAGTGGTTTAAGTTTTGGAATAGAGTGATCCGCCGCGTGTTGGATAGCACGTTGGAGGGTTTCTCCTAGTGAATCTAGTACGGGGATAGAGAGGTTCTCTCCGGAGAGGATTGATCTAATAGCGTCCTGTAGGGGGGGGAGAGCTAGATCTTCTTTTAATAAGGTTTCCTCTACTTGTTGCCGGAAGAGTTTTTTAAACTTCTGGAAATCTGCTTTTCCAAGGTTGTACCTTAGTCCAATAGTAGGTGGGGGGGTGTGATGCGAGGCGTTTTGGAGTATAGAAAAGAAGATAGGGCGGTGGTCCGAGCCTAGGTTATCTAGGACCTGCCAATCTTGGATTTGATTAGAGATACTCCTACTGGCGAGGGTAAGATCTATCGTTGTAGGCCTATCGGATCCGCGTAGACGCGTAGGGACTCCGATTGTATTTAATAGCCGTAGATGATTAGAGTCTATCCAGTCTAGTAGTTTGTCGACGCCTGTTGACGGTGCCCCGCCTGGGTCCCACCAAGGGTGATGGAGGTTAAAATCCCCTGCTATAATTGAGTATGGGCGTAGCGGGGCGTAGCCTTGTTCTCGTTCAAGCGTAAGGGATGTTGAGGGTCCGTCCTGGGGTTTCTGGTTGTAAAGATTAATTATCTGGAGCGTTTTATCCTTTAAAACTAGATCTAAAACCATTAGGTCCGGGGACTGGAAGAGATCTTCCCTATAGTTTATTTGGGAACCCTTTAGGTTCCGGGCGAAGTAAACTAGAGTTCTAGATCTTAAATCGGGTGAGTGAGCCGGGAGAAGTTGTCCGAAAGATGGGTGATTAATAGACCGTTTATCTTTAGGATTTTTGGAGTTACTAATCCAAGGTTCCTGGACTAGTATTAAGTCAATATTTAGTTCGATTGCAAGTTCTAGGGCTGCCTCAGTTGCTGGCGCACTCCTATTAACGTTGACTTGTAGAACTCTTATATCCATTTAAAGATATTATTTTACTGGGGCGTTGGTTCGTAGTTTTTACACCGCGAACCTTTCTTTGACTTGCACCCAGCGTAGTTGCACTGGTGTTGGTCCGTACGATGGGTCCTCTTATTACAGAGGGCGCAGCGGGGTTGGCGTTTACACCGAGTGGTTTCATGGCCGGTTTGGTTGCAGTTCCGGCAAAGTTGATCCCGCGGGGTATTGAGAAGGTTTTCTACCTTACAGCTAATCCCTGCTATGAAGAGGCGGTTAGAGACAGCTTGGCGTCTCTCTTTTTCAGTCTTAAAAGCAATGGCTATAGACGCGCCGGGGTTCTCCAGACGTTTTTCCTTCGAGGTTAACCAGTATGGGTTACCGACAGCGGTTAAGCCGGAGGAGAAGGTCTTAATCTCATTCTTAATAAAGTCTGAGAATTCTTTTGGGCTAAAGTCGCTGAGTTCTGCGGTAGGGACCCCGTGGACCGCTACTTTATACCAAGTTTCCGTAGATTTTGCCTGGCAAGAAGGGAATACGTTGCGGATTATAGCAACATTATTGAGAAGGAAGGTTGAAGGGAAGTCTTGGTTTCCGGTAATAACGATATTATCGTGTGAAGCTGGGCGCGAGGAATTGGACGCCGCTTGTCCTTCTAGATTACTGTTACCTATGGAGGTATATATGCTGCTATCTAAAAGAACACGTT